TGGGGGGGGGTGACCCAGTAGAGGGGGGGGGGGGGGCGAATACCCGTTTATTGGGAAAGGCGGGCCCCTTTTGGAAATAAAACCCCCCCCCCGAAAGGGGGGGTTTCTTTCCCCCTTTCCAAAAAAAAAAATTTTTGGTATTGGTCCGCCCCCCCCCCAGATCTTCCCAACATCATGGGTTTCAGGGAGATCATCAGGACCCCCCCCCCCCCCCCCCGGCGGGCCCCCCGGTCCGCCTATGGCTAGTGCCATTTCACTCTGACATACGCTGATCTTGAAAACGTCTCCAACGGAGCTCCGTGTTGCTTCCAGCGCCCTCCCCCGCGCTCCCTGCGGCCATGGCCGATGATCCTAGGAAGAGAGGTAATCTGGCTACCGCGAGAGCGACCAAACTCGTCAAAAAAAAATCTTTTTTATCGTCGCGTACCCTATGACGACGTACCCATCCGTCCGGCCCGCCGTCGGGGCGGACGATCGCCTCACCTGGTCCGCGCCGCGTCGCACGACGCAGGCGAGGTCACTGCAAACCAACGCATGCGCGTTGGTCTCATGTCAAAATTCGTTCGCAGTGTTGAGCAATGTACGCCGCAGTACCTCAACTCTGGCACAGTCCTCGAGCATGCTCAGGGCTCCACTGCCAGCCACAAGTCGGCCTCAAAGCCGACTTGCGGCGGCTCGGCAGCAGCACACGGCGCGGCTTCACTGCGCTGGAAGGGCGACCGGCGCCGACAGGTGCCGACAACCCTCCACTGTGCGTGAGGCCGTACACGGGTTGCTTGCTGTGCTGCTGACTCTGGGGAAGCTCGGAGCGGCAGCGACAGCGCTCACCGCCGGTCAGCCCGCCGCAATCGTAGCGGCTGCGCCCGCTCGATTGCGGTTTGTCGCGCCGACCTCGCCGCGAGGCGAGGTAACGGGTCCAGCATGTGCCAATCGCACATTCTGTGCGGTTCCACGTGCACTCATGGCGGCGACGACACGCGGGGGGCTGGGCGTGAGCCGCAGCTCCCCCGGGCCAACGGGGGCCTATCCCGGTCACAGCCAGCAGGGGCATACAATTCCTGTACCCAGAGTTACTTCACCGAGAGTAGCGAGATGCAATCTCGCAGAGCAGCTCGTACTTTGCCGTGGTGCCAGAGCAGCCGCCGAGCGTGGGCGAGATCTGCAACTTCCACGCGAGAGAGGTGTACGACGGCCGTAAGTGCGTGCGGTGCGAGGGCGAGGCCACCTGCCTGCCTGGCACGGTTTACGACCCTGTCCTCAACGGCTGCATGGTGCCGCTCGACATCCCTCCGTCGCCGCCGTCGCCGCCGTCGCCTCCATCGCCGCCACCGCCGCCGCCGCCTCCGGTTCCGGTGGCGTCGCCGCCCCCTCCGCCGTGGTGGTCGCTGGACTTTATGTCGATCCCTTACTTTAGCACCACCGAGGTGCTACCGCCTCCGCCGAGGTGCGACTTTGCGGTCGAGGTCTTTGACGGGGAGATCTGCATCCCCCGTGCGGGGCCTCAGCCGCCGCCGCCACCTGCGGCGGCGGTGCGCTGCCTCGAAGGCACCGTGTACGATGCGCAGCTCGACGGGTGCGTGCCATCATCGACCTACACGCCGCCGCCGCCGCCTCCGCTGCCGACGCCTCCGCCGCCGCCGCCGCCTCCGCCACCGTCGCCGCGCTCCCCAGATCCCTCTCCGCCGCCGCCGCCAGGGGACGCTTCCCCCTGGCCGCCCTGGCCCCCCGCGCCGGCGCCGCCGCCTCCGCCGCCTGCCAGCGCAACGCCTCTGCCGATTACGTACCGGTCCATCCTACTCGTCGACGGCCCGCGCCGCTCCTCGGCCCCGCCGCCGCGACCGCCTCCGCGCCGACCTGCACCGCCGCCAGAGGCGCCTCCGGAGGCGCCGTCGGGAGGAGGCAAATGGGACACAAGCCTCGAGGAGCTTGGGTCCGGGGTTGGCGAGACCGGCGAAATGGAGGAGACCGCGCCGAAGCCGGCGCCGAGAGGCTGGTGGTGGAGTTACGGGTACGGGTTTCGGTGAAAGGCTCATTACAGTACTACGGCTCTAGTAGGCCCACGTCAAGCCGATCATATGCATTATAGTTTATAGAGCCGTAGCCGTTTACCCCTTCAACTGAGCACGGTCGATGAGAGACAACGCTGTCGGCTGTGAGTCGCTATACACTCTTTGCATGTGCTCTCTCTTTACACTTACAGTATGTTGACATCGGAAATACTTATGACAGAAGACCCGACCTCTCTCCCATACTTGTGCGTGTGCGCTGAGCTTCAGCTTGCGCGCCGGGCCGGTAGCCTGAGCGCGCCAGCAGGACGAGCGCCCTCCCTCTCGAGCCGCGTGGCTGGCAGTTGTAGTGAAAGGCCGCGGCCGGCCGCTCGTAGGACCGGAACGAGGAGGGGCTGCAGCCGGTGCCGTACTCGTCCTGGCTGTGCGGCTCGCACGCGAGCGCACAGCCCGTGCGCTGTCGCCAGCCCCGCCGCGACGCCGCGTCGCACACGTACACGAGAAGGGACTGCTCCGCGTACCTGTTCACAGCCGAGCTGTGAATAGGCGCGGCACACTCACATAGCTGCAGCCGTGACACTCGGCTCGAGGCTGGCGGAGCCCCTCGCCCTCGTGCTGGGTCGGCGGTCTCTGTGGGCGGCATCTCGGCGGTCTCTCTGCGACATCTCTGCGAGATCTCTGTGAGATCTCGGCGGTATATCTCGGCGGTATATCTCGGCGGTATCTCGGCGAATCTCGTACTTGAGGCTGGTGGCGCTCGTCACGCTCGTGCGAGACGCATTCGCCTAAAAGGAAATGCCGGCATCAAACAGCAGTCCCGTGGAGAAGGCTCGTGCGGAGACACATTCGCCCGAAGCCACGCCGCCCCCGCGTGAAGGCACCGCTGCCAGCCTCGCGGCTCGGGCTTCCTGGCCCACGAGAGCAGGCCTGGTTCACAATCAATAAGTATTAGTTCTCATTGACTAACGAGGCTCCGTGGCCCACGAGAGCAGGCCTGTGCAATGCTGCTACCCGTCAGACACGCATGCTTCACTGTTCACATGCCATTCGTGTTCATGAGAGCAGGCGCCGCTGTTGATGTGGCCTTGCTCCGCGCCGTGAGTCAGCGCCCACCTTTCCGGCTCCTCCTCGCTCGCCGGCGGCGAACGGCCAGCGGCGGTCGGCCAGAGGCGACGCACCCCCGCCAGGGCGACTGTGTCTGTGTCAGTCAGCAGCGCGGGCGGCGGCACAAGCAGAGGAAGCAGCAGCTTCAGGTAGCCGAGAGCCGGACCAGCGTGGTGGCGGGCACGTGGCGCGCCGATGCACTCCACCCACCCATCCAGGTCGGCATCGCGCACCGAAAGCAGCGTCAGCCGCGGGAGGTGCCAGCTGCGGACCTCTGCCGCCTCGGCCTCGGCGACTAGCCAGAGGAAGCGCGCGCTCGGGTCGTGCCACCGGACGCTCGCGTGCAGCAGGCGCGCCTCCGCCTCCGTCTGATTCGGAGCGGCCCGGTGACGGCCGTGGCTGCGATCGCGGTGGATCTGGTGCACGAGCGACACAGCGAGGTGATCTGCGCTGCCGTCGAAGGCGCCCGAGTCATCGAGCGCCTGCCGTGCTCGCGACCAAAAGGAGCACGCGGCGACGCAGGCGTGCCCGGCAGCCGTGACGAGCGGGCAAGTCGCCGAATGCGGGTCTAGAGGGATGCTGGCAGGCATCGTGCACCGGACGTGGGCCACTAGAGCTCTTCCTTCGGGAGTCTGCCCACTTGCGGAGGTCAGCCTTGTCGCCGCAGCAAAGGCGCGTACAGCAGCGCCTGGGGCTGTGCTTCTCGCTCCCCCCCGAGAGGGGTCCCTCGAGACCTCGAGAGCTGTTCCAGTATAATCCAGCTGGCTGTGTGTCTTGTGAGCTTGTTTGTGTCTGTGTGTCGCTCGTGCGTGTCGTCATCATCTGTCCCGCGTCCACCCATACCGCGTTGGTGTCCAGTCCGAGCCTGGCTGTTCTTCACTTTCTACCTACCTACCTGGAAGACTCGGCACGCAATGGCCATGTGTTAAAATGAACTCGGGGGCACGGGACGCGGCACAAACGGGGCACAAACGCCAGGCTACAAAGACGGGGAGGCACGTAGTGACGCAGGGGAGTCTAGGCGACGGCGGCGTCCTCCGACGCCGCGGCGAGCCTGAGCTCGGTCGCAATCTCTTCCGCCGCCGCGAGCTGCAGCGCGACTGACATGCGCTGGGCCTGCAGCGAGAGCCACGACCGCGTCGACCAGCTCGCCTCGTCCTCGTGCTGCCGCTTCGAGAGCGTTGCGCACCTTGTCCTTCATCTGGTAGAACAGCCGCGTGACCGCGTTGCACCACCCGCCGAAGGTTTCAAACAGGTACATCGCACACTTTCCTCACGCACGATACTCATGTAGACCTTCTCCAAGCACACTTTATCTGGCACATATAGACACACTCAAACAGATGCGTGTAAGCTGGCCAACAGTGTTCTCCGGACCGGCTGTGTCCTGCTGTGTCTTCTTGTCTGCCTCAATAACTTTCTCTCCGTGTGGTGTCGTGATAGACTAGCCGCGCAGTGAGCCATAGCACAGCCGCCAACTGCTTAAATCATGAGAGACCCACGCCCGCCAAGAGGTCCTCACGGCCAAGAGGTCCTCACACCAGAGGTCCTCACGTCTGTGAGAGGTGTTTGCTAGTCGGAGGTGCAGTTAGGAAGTATGCGTGCTCGTGTCGCGAGATTCTAGTGGCCATGCGTCGCCGGCGGCCAACTGCTCCCTAAATGACGTAAAACTCACGGCCGCCAAGTCCCAAGAGGTCCTCAAACGCCAGAGGTCTTCCCAGTGTACTGTATTCACGCCAAGAGGTCCTCACGCCTGCGAGAGGTCCTCACGGCGCGGTCCATGGAACACTGTTGGCCTAATCTGTCGCAGGGGTGCAGGCCGGTCCTACTGTTTCCGGTGAGTCGCGACGCACGGCCGGCAGGTCCTCCCGTCGACCCTAGCTTCCATTCATTCCGTTGCTTCCCGGCGCGGCAGAGCGCATTGAATGGCTTAACTATAGCCATGCCAAAGCCCTTGTGTGTATGCCAGTTAAGCTCTAACCTTTTCCTTTGCGGAAATGTGCTGATGCCGTTTCCGACCTTCTTGTTGCGGTGCACTTGGAGCAAGTTGCGGTCGCATCGCCTTCTTTTCCTCTTACACAGCCCTTTCTCCAGGGGGGCCGCGGGGAGACTCTGCTGCGGGGCAACTCCGTGCACTGATGTGGATCGCGTCACACCAATGCTCGCTACCCAACGCGAAGAAAGAAATCGAAAATAGAGAGACATCGCCTCGTCGAGAGAGACTCGGGGGAGAACTGCCAGTCGACATCCGGCACATACGAAAACACTCATAACCATACGGTGTAAGCTGGCCAACGGGTTCGAACTCGATGAGTCGAGTAACCCCCAGCCCGGCTGTGTCTCTTGTCTGCATCTGAGGTGCGGGGACTCTCTCTCTCTCTGTAAGGTGTCGTGATTGACAAGCAAGGCGCGGCCGCAGAGTCAGAGCCATTCACAGCCGCCAAATGCTCACAGCGAGGTCCTCACGGCCAAGAGGTCCTCACCTATGTCCTCACGCCTGACAGGGGTGTTAGTCGGAGGTCCTCAGCGCAGTTACGTGGATGATCTGTCGCAGTATGCGTGTTCGCGGCGTGAGATTCTAGTGGCCATCACAAATCGTCGCCGGCGGCCAACTGCGGTCCTTGAATGACGGCCAAGTGCCAAGCGGTCCTCACGCCAAGAGGTCCTCACTGTGAGGTCCTCACGTCCGCGAGAGGTCCTCACGGCGCAGTCCGTGGGACAATCTGTCGCAGCTGTGCATGCGTGTGTCCTACGCCGGCGAGACAGTCGCGCGACGCACGACCGGCAGGTCCTCGTCGACCCTAGGCTAGCTTCCATTCCGTTCCCGGCAGAGCGCACGCATTGAATGGCTAAAGATAGCCGTGCACACAGCCCTGCATGTACGTCTTAAGTTATAACTTTACCTTTGGGGAGGTGGTGCGGGTTGTGAAGGCGAATAAGATCTCTGGATATGAACCTCGAGACCTCGAGAGAGGTCGGTGGGGTGTATCGACGGCATCGCGGCCGCATCCATTGCGGCGCCGGAGTGTAGGGGATGGTCGCGCGCCCGCCTCGCTTTCACGGGCTCGCGAGCTGCTGGAGGAGGAGCATTGTGGCGCCGCCTGCGTCTCTCTCGCGCAGAAGGGCGACTGGGGCCGCTACCTCGCGCTGATCAAGCATTCCAGCAGCAGAGTCCACGACACCATCGGTGACGCTTGCCTCCTCACCTCCTCGAGCAGGCCCTCATCACACCGCATTCACGCCACCGGACGTAGGTGATGGCGGCTGGCGGACCATTCACTTTGCCGCGCAGCAGGGCCAGCTCGTCGCCGTCCGAGCGATCCTCGCGCAGTCGGGTGCGTCTCCCGCCATCAGCACAGCCATCAGCACCGCCGTGGCAGCAGCAAGAACAGACGCTCATCAAATGTCGGTCAAGTGCGGTCGTGGCAGCAGTATCGCCATCGCCGCCGCCGTGCCATCACCGCCTCCCAGCACGGATATCTGATCTCTCTCCTGATGCCGTCGGGTGGATCTCCCGCCATCAGCACGGCCAGACACTCACCAAGCATCGTTGAGTCTAGTGCGGCCGTGCAGCATTGTCGCAGCGCCGCTGCCTAGCACTGATCTCGCTCTCTCTCACCTCCCTGGACTGCTGCGGGAGAGCGCGACTCCCGCCTCTCCGCCCTAGTCAAACGTCTCTCTCAGCCTCTTTCTGCTGCACTCTCCAGCCGCCTGATGCCGTGATACCATGACCTATCGCAGGTCCAGTCGACGCGACGGACGCCTTTGGCAACACGCCCCTCATCCTCGCCGCCCACGGGGCGCACTGGGAGACGGTGAGGCCCATAGAGTGCTTTCCCGCCGACACATGTCCCAAGGCCTCTCGTGGCACACACTGGGAGACAGTGAGACTATCGCTAACACATGGTGCGACACACTGGTATATCCAAGCCCTAGCCGTGGCAGCCATAGCCGCGATTATTCCTGCATTCCTGCCGAGCTGCTACGCGAGCGCCCGTCAAGCTGAGCCAAGAGATACCTGCAGCAGCGGTGGCTGCTCTTCACGCCGTTCCCTCTCTTGGAGGCCGTTCCCTGCAGCCGATACATGTCCCATGGCTCTCGTAGCTCACCTATACTACATGGTGCGACACACTCGTCGTGCATCCAAGCCCTGCTATCCGAGCTCATCCGAGCGTATCCAAGCGCCAATCAAGGGCCGTGGTAGCCATGGCAACCTTTCATTTTGTGGATCAGGTGCACTGCTTGCTCAGTGCGGGGGCACACGCGGGCGCCGCCAGCCGCTGGTCCGGCTCCACTTAATTATTAATGAATACCTATGCATCAATTGAGCAGGCGCCGCCAGCCACTGGACTGGCTACGGCGCGCTACACTACGCCGCTCACCACGGCGCGCGAAATCTCTGACTCCTCGCCTCTCCCTCTCCTCTCCCTCTCCACTCCCTCTCCACTCCCTCTCCTCTCTCTTTTCCCTCTCTTTTTCTTTCCCTTTCTTTACTCTCTTTCTTTATTCCTCCTTATTTCTCTTGTATCTTTGCATTCTA